TGGGGGGAGATTGAGAAAGAGGCGATAAATAATGTATACTGCATTGAAACAAATGAGGGAGAAAACTGTTTAAAAGGGATATGTGATTAGGTATTATTGTCATGACAGGAGTCCAGAACAAAGGATGCATAGTGGAGTGGACCTGGGGGGAGGGACTGTAAAACAATGGAGAAACTTTTATTTTTCAAAGAGAAGAGTGTTCTGGGGAGAGGAGGGGAAGATGGGCAGGGAGAAAAGTGCAACAATGAATGAATGGAAATCCAAGGTCTCTGTAAATTTTCATTAAATTAAAAAAAATATTTAAAAAGTGTATTTACAGATTTATATACGTAAGTGTTTATATGAACTGCAAATATATTCCTATATCTATATATCTTACATGAACACATACATATACTAAACCTTACAGTGGGTACAGTTATGAACCAAAACAATTCACAGATTAATTTACTGGGTTTGAAAGCTTGGTACCACAATCTCATGGGATAAATCAGTCAAACTGCAAAACAATTATATTTCGTAAAATTGATGTTCTATGTCCTGCTTTGGTAAGCAGCACCACGGTCTTAAAAGTCAGCAAGCATCCAGTCACTAGGTTCCAGTTACAATGAAAGAAACACACAGAAGAAAATGTAAATTTCTGAAAAAGGCTTTTCCTCTACTTGATCAGAACTAGACTGTAGTTGACCCAGAATACACCCTACAGACAGTACTTACTCTCCTATTTTACTCATCACCTACAACCAATACAGACGAGTCCTCATAAGCTAAAAATAAAATAATAAAAATCTAAGATTCTGTAACTATCGCACTTGAAAAAGTTTGTGACTATTAGGTGTCCTAGAGTCAAGTACAACTCACAGCAATCCTATAAACAACAGATCTGAACCCTGTCCTATCCTCTGCCATCCTCATCATCATGACTATGGTTCTGTGAGGTCTGTACAGCTACTGCAATGAATTTGGGACCCAGAAGAACAGTGAAGGGATCTCTGGAGGCCTGGTGATAAAAAGCTGTGCTGCAATCCCAAAGGCATGCAGTTTGACTCTACCAGCTGCTCTGTGCGCAATCTCCTCCTTTGTGATTTACTGACTCTGAAACCCCACTGTAGGGTCAGCTATGGGTTGGTTCCAACTTGATGGCACACAACAAGTACAGCAGGGAGAGCCTGGGTCGGTGTCAAGAGTGGGAGAAGAAAATAGAGGAGTATAGGGGCCATGTCTGACCTCATGGGAATTGGTTTTGTTTGATAGATGTCATTGATTGGAACAGTTCCCCTCTGAACAGTTAACACAGGTCAGATGCAGCCACCCCACATCAAGCAAATAGGTTATTTGTTTGTTTGTTTGTTTGTTTTTTATAAATGGAAGAAAAAAGTTTATTTCTGAGTGGAGAAAAACATATATAAGGAATTCTTGTCTCTTTCTCTTCATGCACTTCTTTTGTAATAGAGTTCCAGATACCAAGTTCACTATTTACCAGCATTTTTCTTAACACTGATCATTTACTAGCTTGTCGACATTTTTTTCATAGAAATCACATACTGTAAACTAAATATGTATTCTCATAGTTTGTAAGCAGCTTACAGCAATTAAATGTTAACAGGGAAGATACATTCTACTGTAAAATAGAAAAAAATGTACAATTTGTGACTTTCAGTGTTTAGTTACTTGATTTAAATGGGAATGAAAAAATAAAACAAAAATCAAGACAGGTCTGGCTTTAAGACATTTTGTACTCAATTTGTTCTATTTTCACATCATCTCCAATTAGCTGGTACACATAAGTGACAACAGTAGAAGCCTGGATATCCATCAACACAAACGAAGGAATAATGTTTGTTTCCAAGGCATTATATGCTCCAGTGGCAGAACCTGGGGTAATGTAGAATTTATTTTCACGCTCAAATGCTTCAAATTTGTGCGTGTGTCCCGAGATAAGAATGTCCACATCAAACTGCCTCTGCAACAGGGCTAAGCTGGCCATATCTCCCCAGGGGATAACTTGATGGCCATGGATCAAACCGATTTTGAACTGTCCCACAGTTACAACTTTCTGTTCTGGATAATTTAGATTCTCATCAGTCTCCTCTCACAATGTGAACATCACCAGCTAGAGTCTTGAGATAGTCGTAGCTTTGGTGCAAAGGTTTCCAGTGCAAAGGATGTGCTGGATCTTTCCAGGCACCAGCAGCGTTTTTAATTTAGCTGGCAGGCTGTTGCAGCAGTGTGGGATGTGCAGATCTCCTAACACCAACACCAATCTGTGCCCAGCCATCCTGTCCCTGGGCTCTGGTCAGTCGTCGCCGCAGCCACCCTCTTCCTCAGTCTCTCGCAAATAGTTTTTACAAGGAGAATGATGAGCAATCTTCTCCCATGAGATTTATAGCCTCCGAAAACCAGCTACTGGGTCCAAGTAAACAACAATGAGCTTTGAGCAACAAATATGAAAAGAAAATTTAAAAAGTATTTTCATGGGGGGGGGGCGGGGGGCAGGGGGACTGTATACCAATGAAGGAGTTTATCTTTTGCTTTTTGAAGAAAGGAGGGAACTGGGGAGTGTGGGGGGACGGTAGAGAAAAAAGTGCAACAATGAATGAATGAAAATCCAAAATCTCTGTAAATTTTCATTAAAATTAATAAAATTTAAAAAAAAATATTGCCAAGTCTGCTGCCAGGGACCATTTCAAACTACTGAGGGGCAATTATGTCAATTTAGAGACTAAGGTGTTCCTGATTCAACCCATGGTCTTTTTCAATCACTTGATACGCATGTTAGATTGGATGGTGAATAAAGATGATTGGGGGAAGTATTTTCATTTACAATAACATCTTAAGAGAATAAAATAGGAATAAATCTTAAAAGGAACAAGACTTGGACAGTAAAACCACAAAATAATGCTGAAAATTTTAAAGAACATTTAAACAGCAACCCCTACAAAAATCTTGCTTTGGTAGCAATGAAAAATCCATCCTAAAATCTATATCGATTAAAAGCTACCCCACTGCTGCAGTGGATTATTGAACATGATGTTCCTAGTTACTGACTTTGCAACTCTCACCTGTTAGATGGAAGGACCACACAAATGTTATCTACAAAAGAGATCTGATAGCTTTATAATAATGTAATAAGGTAAATGCATATTTTAAGTGAGATTATAACAAATAAGATATACAGAACATTAACATGAGAACTGGTCAATTTTGTCATCCCACCAGGCTTAAACAGAAAAGACAGAAATAGAAAACAGGAATTACAATCTAGAACAAGAAGTGCATTGCAAAGTGGACTGGAGGAGAGAGTAAGGAGGAGGGAAGTGTGTAGTAATCAATGAATGAAAACCCAACCTTTCTGTAAACTTTCTTAAAATCACAATTTAAAAAAAAATGAAGAGCAAAAAAGAAAACAAGAATTTCACTATCATCAAGAAAGAAAACCAGACATATCGGAGATGAAGAGATGAGATAGCAGTCTACATGGCTGCAGCAGTGACAGCATTTGCAGCAAAGGTAACAGAGAACTAGCTGTGGGATCCTGGACCACAACCCAAGAAAGCTGACGGGTTTTTGCTGATAAAGTGAATACCTTTGGGCACTTGGTAAGGGAGCTAGGTCTACTGACACGAAGATTTAGAGGTGGACATATAACCAATAAGAGTAAAATAGAGTCCAGAAATAAATCTTCATATATATGGTCAACTGATTTTTTTTAATTTTATACAATTTACAAAGTTTAAATATATTGTTTTTCACAAAAGATCTTTCCCATTTTCTTCACTTCATCCACCCATCGTATTGTGCAGCCCTGTATGATTAAAACTCCACCCCCTCGCCCATCCTCATCCCTCTGCTTCCACACTCCTCACCTTGGATTCTCATACCCATTCTAAAATAATGGTTTTATATGACAATTGACTTTTGATAAAATGATAAGATCATTCAATGAGAAGGAACAATGACTGCAGCACTGGACACAAGTGTCTAAGAGATAGTGAGGATGGCACAGGATAAGATAGGATTCAGATCTGTTCAGAGAGTCACTACAAGTTGTACTCAACGGCATCTAACAACAAGAAGGATGAACTTTGAAAACATTATGCTTAGTAAAGTAAGTCAGTCACAAAATGAAAAATATATAATCCAACTCACATAAAATATTTAGAGTAGATAAATGTATAAAGGCCAAAATTTATTACTAGTTACCAGGAATAGATCAAATAGATTTGTGCATAGAGGACACTGAGTTTCTGTTAATGGTGACAGAGCAATTAAGAAATAGATGGTAGTCTGGTTACCAGGAATGGGAAGGGACAGTGAGGAGAGCAAAAATTAATGAAAAGATAACTGGGTTAAGGGAAAGGCAATATAAAAAAGGAGGCCGATCAGAATTTTAATTCATTAATTAAATACACCAATCAATCATAATGAATATCGTAAAACAAAATGTATATTAAAAAGAATGAAAAATCAATGATTCTTAAATTTTTACTTAAAAAAAAAGGAAAGACTCTGATAATGGTTCCACAATAAGAATATATTCACAAATAAAAATTTAAAAAATTTAAAAAGAAAATATATTCACGATATAGGAACTATATATGGAATAAATGTGCAAATGTCATGTCATATATTGTTTAATCAAAATACAGCAATTTTAAGAATTGTCAAAAATGGTAAATTTTACATTCTAAAAACTCACTAAACTAAAAATATGGACATTTTTATTCATTTAAAATCTTTTCCTTACCTTCCAAGAAACCATCAGCTTAGAGATACAAAAACCAAATTATTTATTATTTTTAAATATTTTTATTATTTTTGTTTGTGTGTACCATCAAATTGGATCTGACTGGCACAGGAAGAGACTGCCCTCCTTCTCCAGCAAGGCATCTGGTGGATTTGAACCACACGCCTTCAGGATTGCAGCACAGCTTCTTGCCACCAGTTCACTAGAGCTTCCTAAAAAACAAATTCTTTAAAAAAGGTATCTCTTCAGTGTGGCCGGGTCCTTGCTGGGCTCCGGTCCCCCGGGCTGCCGCCCACTCCGGGCTGCAGCAATGGATCTCAGCGCTAATTTTCTCCGGGAGAAGCTGCAGCGGGAGCTGGAAGCGGAGCACGTGGAGGTGGAGGACACGACTCTGAACCGTTGCGCGTCCAGCTTCCGAGTCCTGGTGGTGTCCTCCAAGTTCGAGGGGAAGCTGTTGCTCCAGAGACACCGGCTGGTGAACTCATTCCTAGCAGAAGAGCTCCCGCACATCCATGCCTTTGAACAGAAGACTCTGACCCCGGAGCAGTGGAACCGTGAGAGGCAGAAATGAGGGACTTACAGCTGGACAACCATTAAACCGTGAATCAGGACCAGATTCTGTGTGTGGTGTGTGCTTGTGTGTGTGTGTGTGTTGGTGGGAGAAGGGAACCATGAAACTGGGGATCTGCGGCCTGCCGTCTCCCTGCTCTACTTACTGTCCTCTTTTACCTGTCTATCTTGGTCTTTATGTCCTCTTAAAAAACGAAGGCTTGGGGAGCTCTGGTGGCCTAGTGGCAAGAAGCTGCACTGCACTCCCAGAGGCGCATGGTTCAAATCCACCAGATGCTCTGCCGGGGAAGGAGGGACCCTCTCCTCCTGAACCAGTCAGATCCGATTTGACGGTACACACACACACACAAATAATAGAATAATAATAATAATAATAAAGGTATCTCTTCAGCTCCAAAAGAATCAATTTTATTCCAAAAGGATTGGGAAACTTTCAAAGAGAATTCTGATAATCAAATTCTTAACTACAAATATTCACTGAACATTGACCCACGAAGTCAGTGGTAAAACAGAACATACTATTCCTAACTGAGATACACATCACCAGCAACATGTGGAAAAGAGCCCCATGAGAAAGACTTAAGGGATAAATAAGTGTTTATCACCAAAAGCAGAGTGCTGCTCCCAAAGCCTAAAATCTAAACCACTTAGCCAAAAACCTCTGGGTGGTATTAGTTCTCAAATCCCACACATGGATAATTATCAGAAAGGATGACTCAAGTTCTAAAAATTAAAATTAATACACCTGTAATTCTTTAAGATAGTTAACTAAAATTATGACAGATGATCAAGAGTTTAAAGAGGCAGTGTTCAGGGAGCTCTGGTTGTCTAGTGGCAAGAATCTGCACTGCAACCCCAGAAGTACACAGTTCCAATCCACCAGATGCTCTGCTGGAGAAGGAGGGGCAATCTCCTCTTATACCAGTCATATCTGATTTGACAGTACACACACAAAAAAATTATAAACATTTTTAAAAAGAGGCAGTGTTCACTGTAATAACCAGACCAGGTCACTTAAAAAGACACAAATCACTAAAGTTTCACAGAGAATGAAGGATGACTCTTGGGATCCCTGTAGATGACACCAAGAATCTTCCTTGCCCACATCGATGAACAGAAATCTATAAGCAGGCCAAGTGCTAAAGCAAGTTCTGATGCAAATGTATTGTCTGGTGCTGTAGAGTCAGTTCCGCTCACAGCATCTGATCTTTCATGTAACAAAACTACAAGCCGCCTGGTCCTGAACCATCATAATTACTGCTGCTTTGACCCCATTGTTGCAGCTATTGTGTCAATTCTTCTTGTTAAGGAAGGATTTTTCTCTTTTGAATAGATCCTCTGCTTTACTAAGCATGAGTCCTTCCCCAAGAACTAATCTTTTCTGAAACATGTCCAAAGTAAGTAAGGCAAATTCCCACCAGCCTTCTAAGGAACATTCTGACTGTACTTTTTACAAGACAGATCTGTTCATTTTTCTGGTCATCCATACTCACTCTCCTTGCCATCAGTTAGAGGCAACTGATAGCAGACCATTCCATGAGTTTTCAAGGCTGTAACTTGCAAGGGTGAAAACTACCCATCTTTCCTCTGAGAAAGCACTTGTGAATTTGAACCACCAAAAAGGCATGGCCTTTGGATTAGACACGCAATTACAGAGATGGCCAACAAAACTCCATGCACAGTATATTCAACATTCATCAACCCATGATTCAAAGGCATCAATTCTACAGTCATCTTTCTTACTCATTTGTTGTTGTTGTATACCATCGGGTCAGAACCAACCCATAGCTGATCTTCCAGTGGGTTTTTAGAGGCGGTTAACTGCACTTAATTGCAGTTAATTGTTCTCCCATGGAGCAACTGGTGGACTCAAACTGTGTGCCTTTGGGATTACAGCACAGCTTCTTGCCATTAGGCCACCAGAGCAGCTCAGTGGTAAGCACATTTTAGTCCTCAAAGTGACAATTTTGCTTTGTAACAATTTAAAAAGCTCTTTAGCAGCAATTCTGCCTGATGTAAAACATTTGAATTCCTGACTCCTGTCTCCATGGGTGTTATTAAAAGATCCATGTAAAAATTAAATCTCTAACAACCTCAATCTTTTCTCCATTTACTATGATGCTGCTTACTGGTTCAGTTGTGAACAATTTTGTTTTATGTTGAAGTATAATCCAAAAGGCTATAATCGTTGATCTTCTAAGTGGTTCAAGTCCTCTTCATTTTCAGCAAGCAAAGTTGTGTCGTCTGCTAATTACAGGTAGCTAATGAGTCTTCTTCTAATCCTGATGCAGTGTTCTTAATATAGTCCAGCTTCTAAGATTATCTGCTCCATCATACAGATTTCAAACGACTCTGTATCCCCTTATTCTATCAGAATAACTGCCTTTTGGTCCATCTACATGTGCATTCTGCATAATTAAGTGTTCAGGAATATCTGTTCTAGAAGTTTGTGTATCATTGCCACAGTCCTGGTTATTTCACCCTCCCATCTCAAGAGTGTATCAATTCATTCTAGATTTAATATGAGTATATCTGGGAATCTGACAAAAATGGAAAAGACACTTGGAGCTTAAAACTCTAAAACAGGCATAACAGTATCAGGCTCAGGTCCAATAGGACAGTGCCCAGGGGTCAGAATAAGTCTACTCTTTAGTATCTACAGAAGAAAAATTAACATTCAAAGCTTTATAAGAACATTTATTACATCTTTATGACTGGAAAACACACACGAAATCACACACATGCCATCATCACTAAATGAATGGATAAACAATTCGTAGTGCAACTATACAAATTTTTTTTAAAAAAGAAACAACAAAATGAATGAACTACAAAAACATCATGCAGGATGCAGAGATATATTTTTAAAAGATAATTGCATTTGCATAAAACTCTAAAATATCTACAGAGAGAAAAACTGACCGTCATACAGTTGGTTCCGACTCACAGTGACCCTCGACTGCGTTCCCAAGGCTGTGTATTTTAAACGTAAGCGACTGCCCATCTTTCTCTCTTGGATGGATCTGAACCACTATGGGTCAGTTAGCAATGCAACTTGCTATGGATTCCACCACCAGAGATTCCTCCAGAGACAGAAAGATCAGTGGTTATTATGTATGCCCAGGGTGCAGGCCAGGGCTAACTAGGCTGGAAAACAAAAGAAGTTTTCTGTGACTGAAAATGTTTTCACTGAGTATTTACCTGGATAAATATTTATTTATCAAAACTCATTGAATTGAAAAAACTCATTGAACTCCATGTACAATGGAAATGATAACTTCAGTAAATAGTAATAGAGCTGAAAGGTCATTAAGAAATAATTACATAGCATAGAGAATAAAGAGATTAAAGATGTGTTGTTGGACATTTCTGGTCTACAGAGGGTTTCCTATGACCAATTACGTGGCTTCATTTTTTTTTTTTACTGTAAGTCAGAAATTTTTCCATAAAAATCCAGATTTGCTTCCAAAAAAAAATACATACACAACAGCTGGCTAGAATTGAACAACATCTTCTAACCCATTGTCTAAACTCATTGCCCTCATGCCAGAATCAACTTTTAGCTGACCTTCCACTGGGTTTCTAAAGTTGTATATCTTACCAGAGGAAAATATCCATTTTCCTCCCGCAAAGCAGCTAGCAGATTCAAACCACCAGAGACGTGTGGCCTTAAGTTACTGCAACTGCCCACAAACAACTCCAGAGTTCCTAATAACCCGTAAATAAAGTCTATATTTGCCAGTTCACACAGTCCTCACCACTGCTCACTGCCCTTAAACCTTGCTTCCACCTTTCACTGTCAGCTGGCCCATGAGCTGAGTGCTAATGAAGACACAGAAAGTAAATTGTTTCTGCAGTAATTACTTCATGCAGTATTATTCACAGATCATACAATTCACCCATTTAAAGTGTACAATTAATAATTTTTTAATATAGTCAAATATATATAAATATGTAAAACCACCACCACAATCGATTTTACATTTTCATTACTTCAAAAAGAAATACTCTAAAAAAAAAAAAAAAGAAATACTCTATGTATTCTGTAGTGATTACCCCTGTTTCCCAACCAAACTTAAGTAATCATTTTGTCAGTATAGACCTACCTATTCTAGACATTTCATTTAAAAAATGACATCAAATAACATGTAGCCTTTTGTGGCTGGCTTCTTTCATTCAGTGTACTTACAAGATTTATCCATACATACCAGTTTTTCATTCTTTTGTATGGCCAGATAATATCCTATTGTATTTAAATACAGTGTTTTATTTACCAATTCATCTGTTGCTGGACATTTAAGTTGTTTCTCCCTCTGGGTATTATAAATAATCCCACTACAAATAGTCACAAGTTTTGTGTAGAGGCATATTTTCACGTCTCTTGAAGTATGAATGGAATAGCTTCAACATTTTACATCTATACCACTTTTTATGAGTGTTTCAATTTCTCTAGTCCATCACTAACATATACTTTATTGTCTGGTTTTTGACTGTAACTCATTTATAAAATGTTCACTCACAATATGTCCAGATTTTTATGGTTATCAAGGTGCTCTTCTTCATTGACATCAAATTTTAGATTTCAAGGGTCCAGTCTTAGAAAAGCTTCCTTAGCCTACTCATCTTTTATGTAACAAGGGGATAGGCATATATGGTCTAAATCTCCACAGATTTTATGGAAGTATGCTGAAAAAGATCAGAAGCCAATTTTTCAAGCACTCAATAAATAAAGTCCCTAAAGAAGGTCTAGCACTGAAATAAGCATATGTTCCCATCAAAATTCATTTGTAATGCCTCCTCCACAAATGGAACTTCAAACCGTAACAGCAAACATGACAGTTCATCTATCACAGTTTATAAGAGAATAAAGATGTCTGAGGTTTCCTTACCCACAATCTACTGCTCATATCTTGCCGCAGCAAAATGTAAACAGAAAACTATTTAAAATCCAGTGCTAGAGCACAGACCTAGTGCAACAAATATATGTAACGTCTAATTGTC